TCATAATTTTGTGGACGGAAAGTTCATTTTTATGTTGATCTCAGCAACTTCAGATGCAAATTTTCTTTTCCCTTTTTTTTGAGAGAGAGTTTCATTCTCGTTGCCCAGGCTGGAGTGCAGTGGCGTGATCTTGGCTCACTGCAACCTCTGCCTCCCGGGTTCAAGTGATTCTCCTGCCTCAGCCTCCTGAGTAGCTGGGATTACAGGCATGTGCCACCAAGCCTGGGCTAATTTTGTATTTTTAGTAGAGGCAAGGTTTCTCCATGTTAGTCAGATTGATCTTGAACTCCTGACCTCAGGTGACCCACTGACTTCGGTCTCCCAAGATAATCAGCTTTGTTTTTTGTGGGTCAGACAGGCAATGTCCTGACATTGTAATGTTTCAGGATGCCACATCTCGTGTGTGTGTTATGTGTGTGTGCGCGAACACCTAATGGTCATGCTTATGAATTACAAAAGATCTGTTAACGGTTTTATCAATTTTGTTTTTTTGCCTCTTCCCATCTCACCAGTATGGCACTCTGCCGAAGTGTAGCAGCAACACATTCAAAAGTCCCTATTTTTACAAATTAAATAAAAACACAATTAAATTTTAATAGGTGCTAAAACTTGGTTTTGAAATTTTATTAAAAAAATATATTTGCAAACATATAAAATTTAGGATGAAAAACGATCATTTTAAAACATGTAATAACTTAATATTTGCAAACATACACAGATGGTATAAAATCCATACCATTAAAAATGTTAATGATACAGTATTGCGCTCATGAAACAAAAAACCTTGCTGTAATTCCAGAGCTTCTCATCCCCACATTTCAGGGAGCTGAGAATCTGGTACAATGAAAGTCATGAGAGCCACATGGCCAAAGCAGTAATACAGAATAAAAACCATTTAGAACACATATACTTTGAAGTGAATGATATTGCATCTTAGCATTCTAAATGAAGATGTCAAATGCAAAACCAAGGGAAAACATTGCACATATCTGCTGAACTTGCTGAAAAACGGCCTTCTCGAGGCCCTGGTCCACTGGGAAATGTTCTCAAGCACAGCTGTAAAAAAGCCTGGTGGAAGCTGCTTGACTTTGCTCAGATCTTAACATTTCAGACACTTGAAAACACAGGGCACTATGGTTCCAGAAGGTACATTGAACACAACTGAAGAAAACCGAAGGGAAGCAAGAAACACGTGCTCCGCAGCAAATGTGCAGCCAGGACGCAGGACGCGCGCCCTGTGATACCTCAGTTCTCCTCACTCACATGGGCCGAGCCCACTTGTGCCTGTGCCACCTCTCATTCCTCTCAGAGTTACAGTATGATGGCTGATTTTGTTTTCTGAGCAGTTAGGCACCTTCATTTTCATGTTGCATTATTAGTAATACAATGGCAGTTAGGGCCTCTACTACCGAAATGAGAAAATTTCAAACTACATTCTTTGGGGAGGACAGTAATAAAGCTGCGTGGTTTAAGAATTTACCTAGTAGTGGATTTGATAGCGTTTATATAATTTCTACAAGAAAAAATAGGCCAGGAAAAGAATAAATGCTTGACATGCAAATTCTGGTCAGACATATTCTAAACTAAGCCTGTGTATCCCCCTGTAGAGAGGGGCTCAGCTTGATTTGGGCTTTTTTTTTTTTTTTTTTTTT